TTTGGCATTTAGATCTCCCATTAGAATGGTGAGGTCATTTCTTGGGCATTTCTCTATGACTGACTGCAGCCGCTCGTAGAATTGATCTTTAATGTCGTCGTTGCTATCATTTGTGGGTGCATAACATTGGATAATATTCATTAAGATCCCCTCCTTCTTTGTTTTGAATGATGCTTTGATGATTCTGGATCCGTGAGATTCCCATCCTACAAGTGCATTTCGTGCTACTTTGGATAGCATTAGAGCAACTCCCTGAGTGTGTGGAGCATTTTCCTTTTCGTGACCGGAGTATAGCAGCATCTCTCCCGTAGCTAGCCCTTTCTGTCCAGCTTGGGTCCAGTGGGTTTCGCTGATTCCCAGTACTGCCAAATTGTATCTTCTCATTTACGTTGCTATTTGACTGGTCTTCCCGGTCTCTCACATTGTTCGAACGTTCCATGTACCTACAAAAATGTTTGCTCTGGTTGTTAGAAGGGGCATCGGCCTCGTGGCTTCCGAAGGAACTCGGCTTTCACCATGAAGCGTCATAATTCTTCTAAATGAAGACCTTCTGACTCCCAGGGCAGAGTTAAAATGGTTTGAATTATTTTTTTTAGTTAGCGTTTTCTAGCGAGTTAGTTTTATACGGTATGGGGACGCTAATCCCATGCCCAACCCTCCTTCTTTACCCGGGCTTGGGACCGGCAGTAATTCTAGAAGAGCTACAGGCGGAGGTGTTCACTTCAAAAGCCATCACGTTATCTACTTAGCTACTGAGTCCTGATAGCCACTTGCTTGTGCATTGGGGTGAAGTCTGATTCATTTGGTACTGTTTTACTTGAATCTTCCCAGAGTGAACATCAACTCTGAGATGCAGGTACATTCAGCTGACGAGTCCCAAACGGGACGAAACGCGCGTCCTAGATTTCACTGCTGGCCACTATCCATCTTTGCTTATAATGCTTGTAAATTAAGGCAATATCGAGGCATACGCACAGTATGCACACATGCCAATAAGAAACTGATCAATTTCAGTCCTAAAACATCAATGCGAAGATTCAAGTAAAAAAATACCAAGTGAATTTTTGAGAATATGCTTTCAGTTAATCACCCCGAGACAAGAGAATGAGGAAAGTCGAGTTAATGCTGAAATCTTTGTTCTAAATATGGTAAGCGTGCATTAAGTCACCTTTTAACCTATGATAAGGTGATGAAATTAGACTGTAGTACCTCTGTTTATCGTGATAAAATAGACTAGAAGGATCCCTAGCTGTCGAACTCATCCTAGCATATCCGTTTCATATATGAAATAAGGACTCACAGGACTTACTCCCGAATTATAAATGGAATCACACACATGTTGTTTATCAGATTCCGTCTACTCTGATACGTTCCTCCCTAACCCTGAATAACCAATCTAACGTATAACTCCGTAACTTTCCAGTTTTACTCCAAGGTCCGTCGTAGAGATGTTACCGAAGGCCATACCAAAATATATAACGACTACAGCTCACGGGATCTTTCTATCTGTCGCTCCAGTTTAAGCTTTCTTTGTGATTAGAAGATTAGTCATACATGAAAGATCTGGTTTAAGATCGTGTTCAACCTCTATCAAAAGTTTTTTCTACCAATTTAGGCACAGTACTAGTAAGGTTGACTGGACGTTATTCATTTATCCAATGTTCATCATCAGTTTTATAAAGTGAACTAACGATTGAACCATTCTGATTTCATTGAAGTTTTAACTGCTTCAGACAGATGACGTAAAGCATTGCAAATGGTTCAGAAATTATATCAGCCTGAGCTTTCGGTATGTCATTGTAACCCTGGATTTACATGGTTTGGGATGGCATGGCTGTAAGACAACTTCCTCGAAAATTACCAGATACAACAAAGGTAGACCTTCCTTAGAACTAATATTTGACCTTTCTTCATCATTATTGGGGGCCACGTTATTGAAATCACATCTCAAGATGGCATTATTAATTCATTCACCTGTCACTCCTAGTAGATTCTCTTGAAGCTGAAGTGGTGTAATTGTATCACTTTCCTATATTCTCCTGATATGACGTAATAAAGTTTTGAAACTGTTTCTTAACTTCTTTCGCTATCCAAGGCTTATCAATCCACTAATACTACAGCGTTCCTCTTAATCATTATCTATAATTCGACTGAAGATCATCAAATTAAATAGATTATTGACTAAGCTATTCATTAATACTTGATTTCTAGATTCGTTTTAAATCAAATCGAATTGTTTTATAGTCAAGAGACAATCTAAATATTGACAGAAGTAATAAAAAAAGAACAATAGTTAGATTTCAAATAAGTTATGCCCTGACTGGATGATATTGTATGACATAGAAACCAATATACCGTTGATTATTGCAAAATATTTATATACTATTACCTCTTTGAATATTCATCTTATTAGTAGAGAACAAAGATAATAATCATGACAAAGTAATGAAATATAATGAGTAAAAGATGTTTCTGTGTGTACAATCAAACCTAAAGGAAGTTCAGATTGAACAACATCACTTCTTGCAAAACTGAAGGAAATGAGTGCAAGTATAGAATGTATGTTTTGTAAAAACGTGGAAAAATGCCCCCCAAATGACTTGGTACGGCTGATGGTGTGGAGAGTCAGCTCTCCCTCTCGAAATGCTCTCACATGGCCATGCGTATACAGCCACTGTCAGGAAAGTTCGACTCACTGCCTTCTCGCGTCACTACTGTTGTTTGCGAAATCGAGAGGACGAAAAGTAAATGTTTGATGCCTTAACTGGGTTGGTGGACAGGAAGAATTCACCTAGGGAAGTTGGAAAACCCTCATTCCGAATCAATGGTGTACATGGACTCCAGGATCCTAAGAAAACAAATGGCGTATGAATCAATCGTTGGCCACCAGCTACCACAGGACTACATCTTCTGACGTTGCTCCACTACCTTGTGAATCAAACCTCTAGGTCGAAGGCTCCACGAGTGGCCCCCTAAGGAAATAATCTGTTTCGATCTGGGCACCCAGACAGTATCACAGCCCACATACAAATCAAGTGACTTGTATGGCGCATATTTATTTAGTGCCTCTTTGTACTAATATTTATTTGTTGAAATAAATAAATAAATAAATAATTTTCTAAGTTGATAGGCACCAATAGACATCAGTGGTTATTTACTTTGAGTGAGATCCAGGTTCATGTCTTTGTATCAGTTGTTATCAACAAGTGAGCATCAAAATGTGAGATTACTTAACGTGTTGGTAGCATTAAATTTCTATGTTTAAGTACAGCTATGAGACTTTAACTCAGAATAGAAAATGTAGTACCTTTCACTAGTGTCTACCACATATTTAGTATGTTGAATAAATATGGATTGAGGTTATATTCACATGAATTAGAATATTTAATTGATATAATGTTTGTCAGTTGCATAAGATATATTGTTAATAGGCTTCCAGTAGCCAGAAATCTTCAAATTTTTCTTTGAAGTAGTAGGTTTCAAACATTTTCTTTACTTTCCATTGGTTTATTAATTTCGTTGGATATTCATAAGGTTTCAGGTTTTCATTTTTTTAAAGCCTGATTTAACTGGATTTAAAAGAACCTTACATGTTTATTAGACTAGACTAAAATTGTGAAAAGTGGAATATCCCTAAACTGTTCATGCGGGTTTGTGTAAATAAAGAGCTTAATTGATCCAACTACTCTTCAACTATACTTATTAAAGACAGTCAAGTGTTTTCATTTTTATTTGTCTACTATAAATCTATAATCTGGTCTTTAGCATATCTCAACTCTTCTTTCCTACAATTAACTGGTAAAGACTAAAACTTTGCTTATGTAAATAATTTATTTAGTATATCAAAACAAAATGTCACTCCCAGCCCATGTTTGTTAATTTGCTGGTAGTTCATGCCCATTATTTTAGGCGATTGTTATTTGTGTGTTGTCATATTATGTTTACATTGAAGCATGTTGTTAAATAATTGAAATTCATAATTCTAAAAAATGATCTTAGTTCTATTTGTAAGTGTGGAATTTCGCAGGCACTCTCTAGGACAACATTTATTAGGTTAAATTCACTTAGTATTGTTTACTTAAATCTTACCATTGATGTTTAGCAGTGCAATTAATCAGTCTCTTGTTGGCACAGGTGTGTACTGTGCTTATTACCTTGATATCAGTACTCAGTAGCTAAGTGGATAACGTGATGGTGTTTGAAGCGAACGGTACTGGGTTCCAATCCCACAGTGAACATCAACTGTGAGATGTAGGTACATCCAGCTGACGAGTCCCAAACAGGACGAAACACTCGTCCTGGATTCCACTACTAGCCATTATCCATCTTTGCTTATTTATTAGGTTAATTGTTTTTGAAATCATAGTCACTACTTCCAGGTAAGTGATGTTGTATTATATACTCCAAGTCAAAATACAGAAATAGTACTGAACTAATTGTTAGTCGACATGGGTTGACTAGATAATCAAACAATAAAATATAGAACCCTAATAAAAGGAAAATATGATGTACAACTAACTAATTCATCTTTACATAAAGTTTTATTCTGATTGGAGATTATTATCAACGAAGTTCAGAAAATGAAGCTAGAGCGACTACTTATCTAGATTCTGTAGACTTTTATATGAAATCAGCTGTAGATATTTGATCTTTATCATCACTCATACTTATCGCCATATAAAAGAGGAGATAGATTCATAATTGTTAATCAGCCATACTAAGAATATTGGGTGACTGGTTCTAAACATAAGAATTCCTAGGATAATTATTTGATTTATAGTTAAAATTCATCTGTTGTACACATTTGATATCTCCCTGATTATAAAAAATCTGACTCCAGTTGAGATGTAGTATTCAAAAACTTACTTATTCTGTATGCTTAATCGCTATCAATGTCTTTCTAGTTGAATTATCTTGAAAGTTATTACAATATATATAACATTAGTAACTGTTATGTAATTAGTGCTTGTTTAAAAATCTTATTTCATAATAAATGATAGATAACATGGTCAACTAGTCAATTGAAGAAACAAACGAATTAAGTCATTATAAGGTTAGTACAAATGTATAAGTATTCAGTAAGATATTGTTCTTTCAGTGTTATTCTTTAAAAAAATAATCAAAGATTGACAATAAATCGATACAACATTTAATGAATTAAGTCAGCAAAATCTGTTGACTGGGAAAAATAAAAAAAAAACATTTCTTTAGAAAAACTTTTCGATTTATAGATGACCAGTGTTACGTAATAACCGCGTCACAAGACAAGCCCTCACATAGAGTCCTCAAGGCCATAAGAGAAGAGGAAGACCAAAGAACATACTGAGCCAAGAAATGGAGACAGACATGAGAAAAATGAACAAAAATTGGATAGAACTGGAAAGGAAGGCCCAGTACAGAATGGATTGGAGAATGCTGATCGGCGGTCTATGCCCCATTAGGAGTAACAGGCTTGCATTGTGCGTTATTGCATTGTGAAGTGTTACGTAATAGGTTACGTAGTAGGTTTTCGTAATCAAAGGTGAAACTTAATTGATACCGAATTTAAAAGTTTCCAAATTATATAAATGATGAAATTATGAAAGTCTAAGAAAGATTGATTGAGATTTGATAGATAACTTTTAAAGCTAATTTAGTATTAATTCTGTAACTAGTTATCAATCAAAAGTGAGGAAAAAGTGTTCCATGTTATTCCTCTTCGTTCTTTTCTTATTGACAAAGAATGATGTTCAAAAGTGTTATAATAAGCTTACCTTCCGACAATGTAACTAGTTAGACAAAATCAGTCAAATTGATAAATACAAAATCACAGAGGTGAACTTTGACAGATATTGATTTTTCCTCAATCGATCACTGATAATTCAAGCTATCTTAGATGGTGGTTGGAGGTAGACGACAGAAAACCCCGGACCCGGGTTTCGTGATACTCTGCACTCGTTACCATGGTGTACCTGTAATCGTTAGTGAACTGGGGCTCCCTGACGAATTCGATCCCGTGTCACCCAGCTTCATAGTTAGAGACGTTACTGCTGAGCTATCCGGGCCGCGACTAACCTAAAATTATTCTCTCTGAGATTTTTTCAGTATCAATTATTTTATTTTTATGAATCAAGTATTGAATTAGGTTTCACTAATACTGTTGTTGAATAAAGATATATAAATGAGTATAATGATCTTTGTTGGTCATTGATACAGACTTCTTTTCGTTGCTTTATCTGATGTTGCATTGTGAAATCGAATGCTTGATGGACTGTTTTGAGCTTGTTCTGTAAGCTCTTTACATTTTAGAGCTATGGATATGCAATGATATTATTCGAGCTGAAAACAACTTGGAAATAGATGTTTTCGAATAATAGTAGTAAGGTATACTCCAGTATTCAACTTCGCGTTGGCACCAAAAAGATATCTCTAAGACTAACTTGAATAAAGTACTTAACGAGATCTTTGTGAAGTGATTTAAAATATTCTACTTACCATTTCATACATGGGCTGCATAGAAAATTTAGCATAAAGAGAACTGAACAAGTTACCTAACCATTTTTATGTACTTTTAGTAGACCATGAATCCATACATCACAGCGTCTAAGAATCTTGGAAGACTGAATACGTTTGTTTTGAATATCTCAGCTACCACACTAGCTGTCTCCCAATGTATTCTGAGAGTGTGTTGTTAGTTGATAATTTCTAAAATTTGCTATGCTTACTTATTTCTGTTTTTCCTCGTGAAGCATAGGGAGGCGACGAAAATTCTCCAACCAACTCAGTCTTTGGCTCTCCTTTCTAAGTGCTACCAAATAATATTTATCATTTTGATCCCTGCTTCCAATTCTGGACGCAATGTGTTTTTTGATCTACTCCTTTTCTTTTAGCTCTAACGATTCTATCTTAGAGCTTGCTTTATGATTTCCATAATGTGTGCCTATATATTTTATCCAGATTCTTTTCATAAAACGTTTGCCACAGTCACTACGTAGTATGTTCATCTTGTCCATATAGCACAGGTTATCTATGATAATTCCTAATTAGTCCTTGTTAAGATTTCACTAAATAGTAATCAATTTCTTGTATATTTAGTTTTTGGTATTAAACAAATCTTTCTGATTAAGTTGCTGAGCAGCTATTATTTAAAGTGACTCTACACTGAATGTATTATGGCCAGCTGTCAGTCAACTGAAGAAAGTTGATGAGACGTCTTGAAATTAGATTTCATACTGATTGTCACTTGTCAGTTGATTAGTTAACTTTGAAAACTACTTCATTTTATGAGCTTGTATAGTCCTATATTACCCAACTGTTAATTTGTATTAAATACTGATTACAAGCATTCCATCAACAGTATAAGGCTATGTACTGTAATGTCGCACTTTACTTTGTTACCCTATACCCGATGTGATTTTGTTCTTTCAGTAAAGCGAGACATATTATATAAGTCACATGCATTTGTCACAATATGCCATGAGGTTTTATTAGTTATATACGAAATTTTCCCTCGAATTAACAGTGACAAATAATTAAGTTATTAAGCAAAGACACTTATACGCAGTTTTGGGCTATACTTTTCCTGTAAAAGTAGTGATACTCTACAGTGATCAAGATCGAACAGTTTGAAGTTACATTTAAAATTCTAAATAAAATAAATCTCAGTTGGTCTATTCATTTGAAGCACTCATTGTTTATATTATTTGATCGAAACACTAGAACAATTGGTTGTAGATTATACTTTACAAAAAATGATTTGACAACAAATAATATTAAACGTTAGTATATTTTACTAATCAATATTGATTAAAATTATTGATCTTTTCCCTGAGTATCCATTGAGTTTTATTATAGGTGTGACAAAACAGAAGATTTCGAAGATGAATAGTGGCTAGCAGTGGAATCCAGGATGAGTGTTTCGTCATATTTGGGACTCGTCAGCCGGATGTACTTGCATCTCACAGTTGATGTTCACCCTGGTACTCGAACCCAGTACCGTTTGCTCCAAACTCCATCACGTTATCTATTTAGCTACTGAGTTCTGATAGCCATTTGCTTGTGCAATGGGGTGAAGTTATATTCGCTTGGTGTTTTTTACGTGTATCTTCCCATTGCACAAGCAGGCGGCTATCAGGACTCAGTAGGTAAGTGGATAACACGATGGTGTTTGAAATGAACGGTGCTGGGTTCTAGTCTTAGAGTGAACATCAACTCTGGGATTCAGGAATATCCAGCTGACAAGTCCCAAAATAGAACGAAACGTGTGTCCTGGATTCTACTGCTAGCTACTATCCACCTTTGCTTGTAAAGCTTGTGACTTCAGGCAATATCGAGGTGGTCCGCACAGGATGCATATATGCCTAAAAGAGACTAATTAATTGCAGTCAGAAATTCGTTTCGAGCATATACGTGTTGTTGATAGTTTCACAATGAAAACGCATTGCCACCATATAACATATTTCCTTGAAATGATGAAAATTAAAATGTTAGTCTTTTGTTCAGAATATAATCCAGAATTAGTCAATTCTTCAGTTAAATTTTGATTAATTCTTGAAGATGGAATAGTATACGGGACGCTTTTTATTCAGTAAGGTGAATACAACTAATGAAGCTATGAAGTGCCTTCGAATAATCAACTGACAAAATTATAACATCTGATTATTTCAATAAACCCATTCTCATTTTATTTCACTTTATGGTATCTTAACCCTATTTAAATGATTTAACATAAAACGGTGTATCAATAATGTTGTGACTTTATCCTTTTGACCAATTTATTCTATATTCATAGTACGAACACAGTCACTATCATCTATGGCATCTACAATCAATGTTAAAGGACTTGTTGAACAAATGAAACATCTTCTTCAAGATTTAAAATCATGCCCGGTAACAGATAAATTGATTACCAATGAAGAAAAGTGAGTCGATTGTATATGTTATTTTATCATTTACCTAATGTATATAACAAAGATAATCATCTATTGAAATCATCTTATGCATGAGAAAATAATTTTGCCTTTTAATGAATAATAAATTAGACTGAATTCAAAAGATATTCAAATTGATAGTTTCATTTGAATAGTCATAATGTTTAGATTCCAGTCAATCAGTTTGTTAGTTGCATTATAAGATTAAAATGTAAATAAAATACAATTTCCTTCAACTGACTTATAGAAGCGAAATTTGGCTATCGATTGAATAGTGTTGTTGAACAATAGGTAATAAATGCTATGAAGTGAACTGGATAATTAAGATTTTCATTTAAGTATATGATAAGATTTAATATATTCCATGTACCTAAATTAATGGTTGCTCTGCTTGTCAGAAGGGGGCATCAGCCTCGTGACGTCGGTGTATACACTCCCTGTCTTTCCTTAAACTATGAGATTAAAATCGCTTCATATCTTTCTTTCTACGAACCAATTCTTTCTGCTTGTACTATATCTCTATATGCATTCTTTCTCTTATATATTACCACCTTTTACCTAACCACTGTTATGAATCTGGTGTTCATCTTGTTGTGTTGATGCGGTATGGCAACCTGGACCGATGCACATATGTGCCTGGTCCTACGTTGTATCTGACTGACTGACTGACTCGTGACTTCTGAAGGAACGCCTATCATTACTATTAAATGATAATCATTTTATATTGATCGAAGTTGATAAATATGAACCAGTTGATTGCGGATTGTCTATTTCATAATTTTTTTGAGTTAGATCATGAGTTAATTGAAGCTAGACCACCATCGAATACCTGCTAGCATTGGATGGACGTTTCGTTCTATTGTGAGACTCCTCAGCAGTGTGCATTCACGATCCCGCTCGCTAGATTCAAACTCAACAGCTATCGGTCACTTGCACGAACGCTTAACCCCTAGACCACTGAGTGTCGATTAAACTACTTCTTAATCCTGCGAGGCGGGATCGTGGATGCACACTGCTTAGGAGTCCCACAATAAAACAAAACGACTATTTAGTCCTTCCAGGTTTTCAATGATGGTCTAACATGAATCAGTTCATGATCTCAATCAAAAACTTAATAATCTCCACAATCCTTATACTGATCATTTCATAAATAATTGATTTTCATGAAAATTTAAGATCTTAAAGTTGATTTCTGTATCATGAATATTAACTAACAGTTTCAATTAAAATAAAAAGAACCTTTTTTTCAAATCTTTTTTTAATTATCATGACTTTTGTTAAGTTTTGTATTAGAAAAAAAAGATCGATTTAGTATTTACTGAATGTATGGTCATTTTTCTTTTCTTTTAACCTTTAAAAAGAAAAAAATTACCAGCTAAACATGATTTATATAAAATGTCATTTAATTACCTAATAACTAATTATATCTTAATTATAATGAATAATACTAAAATTTGGAAACAATTCTAATAAGATTTTAATCTAATAAAAATCATTGTAAATATTAAAAAAAGTTCAAATAGAATTCAATTGTCAATTATCGAACAGTTTATTATTGGTATTATTATTATTATTATTGAATCGGATCCATAACATTGTAATATATATCTATACGAATGTATTGATCTTTTACAGAGAGATTCAATATTAAATTGATTAATTTGTGATTGATTCAATTGAAGATCTTTATCATTGATAAAATGTATATAGTCAGTTCTCAAGTGATTTATTAAGTAATCTGAGAATTTGACGAGAAATTCACAGAAGTGATATAACATTCTTTGTTGAAAATTATAGTCTACAATTTATATAGTTTTAAAAGTTTAACAATAACAATAAATAAACATCTTTTTTGATTGAGATCATGAATAGATTGATGTTAGATCATCAAAGAAAACCTAGAATAATTGGGAGGCTGTTTCATCCCATTGTGGAACTTCTCAACAGTATGCATCCACAACCCCACACTCGGGATTCAAACACACGACGTTCGGTTTTGCACTCGAACGCCTAACCTCCAGACCACTGAGCCAGTATTCAATGATGCTAATGCCTAACTTCAACCAATCCATGAAATTGCGCAACCATCTTTCATTGTCTGAGGTAGATAACTGTCTCTATGTAGCACGAATTAGTTCTACTGGTCACGACTTCGCACTAGAACACGGGGAATTCCGTCACGAAGCTATTCACTAGTAAGCACATTGTAATTATCAGTATAGTGTTGTGACCATGGGTTCGAATCGTGCTAACGGGATCATGGATTCAATTATCCTAAATTTAATATCAAAAGAGGTTTGTGGATATTATAGTAATTTTAATAGTTGAGATCATGATTCAACTGAAGCTAGACCACTATGGAAAACCTGTAAGCACTGAACGGCCATTTCATCCTATTGTGAGTCTAAAGGTTAACTGTTCACGAGCGAGACCGATAGGTCCTGGTTTCGAATATTCCAAGACGGGATCGTGGATGCGTACTGCCGAGGAGTTCCACAGTAGAACGAAACGGTCGTCCAGTTCTTCCAGGTTTACCATAGTGGTCTAGCTTCAAGTAACTATTAAAATATCATTTTCTTAACAAGCTTGCTTACCTAAGTAGATAGAGTGATATTTGGATATCCTATATAATTCGTGTAAGAAATCATTCATCACCTACGTCAATTATGATGATAAGCTCACTTTAACACTTCAATCGACTTTATTACTCAGAGTTATATGACATACATATTTTATAAATGACCTGAGTTATTGTTTTCCAATGAGTAATTTGACATACATTGATAAGAATTTATTGGCAAGTAACTTCTTTCTAGATGAACGCAAATTATATTGTACTTATCAAATTGTTGAGCTGTATTTCATTAGTTAAAAGCTTATCAGGTTCAGGGGTTCAATTTTTTTTAGGGATGATTATTCAAGTTATCATGATATATCAAAGTAAATTAAAATAGGTGTTCATGTTCCCTCGGTTTCTGAAGTTTTATTTTCAGTAATTCTAGTAATTGATAAAAATAATTTCTTCTAAATCCTAAACCTAATTATACTAGTTTTAAAATGGTGGAAAAAATTTGTAACATAGATGGATGATATTTCTTAATTTTGTTCTCTGAGTTGGATGGTTTGGTCGTGGAGCTGTCATCGTTCTTTTGAACGACATCATCACCATAAACTTCAAGTGGAAGTGTAATGTTCGAATTTCTCCACATATGGTTCACAGTTTGTTTTGTAGACCTCGATGTTGATTAGTTTTTGTTGACCTTAAACCTATCATAGTTTGCTTCTTTGTTTTTGGTTGTATCTCCGATTGGTTCGATTTTTGTTCCTATGTTTGTCCATAATTTTCCTGATTGGTTGATAAATTTAATCGATTTCAATGTACTTGTTTATTGTTGATTGAACTGAATGTTAAGCTTCGAAAAATTCTCTGGTGTTTTTGGAATTGCCTCTACTTAAAATCTCCATATTTTTCCAGTCGAATGTGTGTCCGCAGTTGTTCACGTACAATGATACAAGTGAGGACATGTCATGTTGTTTGACTGCTAATAGATATTCATGCAGGTGAAGATAAAGAGGGCGTCTGATTTGTCCGATGTAATGTTTTACGCATAATTTTTGGAATAATTTATTTTTTTAGATGTTCGATTTTTCTTCTTTTGTCATTTCATCCTTTGGTTTGCAGCTCAGAGAACATAACTCCATGAAGATACTATTTTTCCTTGTAACTTGAGAAAAATAATCATATTCTGCTGAAGTGCTTTGAACAAACTGTCGAATACTATCCTAACGACCTCAAATTAGATCTTTTAATTTATAATCTTAGTTAATAAAGCTCTAACATTTAAAGTACATAGGTCTTATATTTCAATAGTACTTACTTACTTACGCCTGTTACTCTTCGTGGAGGTGTATAGACCGACCACCAGCATAATCTGGTTGTCGTTTTTTTGTGATGGAGTTGCCGATCTCATGCCAAAATCTCCTCCTTTACCCGGGCTTGGGACCGGAAGCAACTCTAAAAGAGCTACAGTCGGAGTTTATTTCAATAGGAGATGTATCATAAATCACAGTGAAGAGTTATAAACAAAACAAAACAATCAGATTGAAAAAATATATCACAAAAACAATTTTCTAATGGGGTATTTAAAATAAAATTATTTTACAAATTGTTTAATTAACATAATTATCGATAATTTTCAAATTATATAAATTTGAATAGAATTACTAGGCACACCCATTATGTATATAACGGTTAAAGCAATTTATTTTTAGTCTAATCCCATTTATAAACACGAGAGTAATTAACGTTTTTGTAAGCAAGAGTAGCCAAGTCTACAAGTAGGATTATTGCATACTTACTTACGCCTATGACCCCCAATAGAGCATAGACCGCCGGCCAGCATTCTCCAACCCATTCTGTCCTAAGCATTTCTTTCTTGTTCTATTCAGCTGTTGTTCATTCTTCTCGTGTCTGTCTCCATTTCTCAGTGTGATGTGTTCTTTAGTTTCCCTCTTCTCTTTTGGCCTTGATAGTTACAATTGAGGGCATGCCTTCTGATGTAGTGAGGGATGATTTCTTCAATGTGTATTCCTTCCACTTTTAGCGCTTGTTCCTGATTTCTTCCTCCTTTGGAATCTCATTTGTTCTCTCATACAGTACGTTGTTGCTGATAGTGTCTGACCAACGGATCCGAAGTAGTTTGCGTAGACAGCAGTTAATAAACCTTTGTATCTTCTGGATGATGGCTTTCGTATTTCTCCAAGTTTCCGCCCCATACAGTAGAACTGTATGAACATTTGTATTCAAAATTTTGACTTTAGTGTTGGTTGGCAGGCAGTTGTTTCGAGTTCCAGGTGTTCTTTATTTGTAAATATGCTGCTCTTGCTTTGCCGATCCGCAGGATCCACCGTGTTCATCAATAATACTTCCCAGGTATGTAAAGGTTTTTACATCTTCCAAATCTTCTCCGTCAAGTGTGATTCGATCGGTGCATGCTGTGTTGTATCGGAGAACCTTGCTTTTCCCTTTGTGTATGTTGAAACCTACAGCTGATGAGGCTGCTGCCACACTGGCCGTCTTCTCCTGCATTTGTTGTTGCATGTGAGATAGGAGAGCCAGATCATCTGTGAAGTCTAGATCGTCCAACTGCATCCAAGCTATCCACTGTACCTCATGCTTCCCCCAGAAGTTTACGTCTTCATGATCCATTCGATCACCGGGAGAGCGAGAAAGGCTGAGAGTAAGCAACTTTTCTTGACACCGGTCTTTGCTTCGAACGAGTCTGTGACCTGTCCTCCATGCACGATTTTGCAGTTTAATCCAGATATAATAAAGTCGTCTTTATTTGTAAGGATATGTGCGTTTTGTACTCGATAAATTGGTGTATGTGCAAACTTATTCATTTTAAGGATCATTTTCTACAATCATCGATCAAACTACGATGTAAAATACAAATAATTTTATTGCCAATGTGTATACTCACTAAGATTTGAATTTAAAACTGATAGATACTGAGTTGACTTTTACTGTCATGCAAACGATATTATGTACAATCACAGAAAAGAGTTCACACGCGAACTAACTTCTTTATTTAGGAGGTTTTTCAAGGGAGTAATTTTTATGAAGATCAGTTTTCAATCATTTTAATGTCGATATATGACTTGTACGGCTAGCACTGTAGCTAGTCTAGTTAGATAGCAATTATAGATAATGTATGACTATTGTCCATCGTAACGAACTAATTACAATTGGAATACACTGGATGTTATATTTTAAATAAATAGTCGAACAGTTGTTTATTTTTCTAAAGAAAGCTTATGAATTATATAAGGTTGAAGTCGAGCTTTGTCGAAGAACTCTGTCAAAGACAAATCAGTGTTTGGATAATTTTTAGTCATCAATTTAAACGAAGTAGATGTTAAGCGATCAAGATTATTTTCATTCATAAATCATTGATGAATATACTAGAATGCTTTAAGTTTCGGGCTAGAACAACCTAGTTCATAGACCTGTTTGTTAAGAGGTGATGAATTCTGAGGTTAGCTGACTTATTTAACAGGTTAACAGTCTGTTCAACATCAAAGAGCTAATAAATTTGTAATTTAGTCAGAAAAAGATTTGAAATTTCATTTAAGCCAGTCGTTTTTAGGTATTCAGGAATTTTAAGGTAATTGCTGTTCAACAACACCTTCGATTATTCTACGAGGTAGGTCTTACAGGAGTTCTCTGTTGAATAATTATGTGGTGAACTGTTATAATTTCATCCTGTAATTTCTATTTTAATGCACCTTCGTCTTGATCCTTTGTAATATCCAACGTTGTGAAGCAGAATGATCTTCTATATCACAACCAGTATGTTTATTTCCATATCAAGTAAACCTACAGTTATAGAGTTAGGAGATAATAAAATTGAACCTATCACTCATTGTTGTGATTGAAAAGAACTTAGTTGTTAGAAGCAAATTAGAAGTGGCCATTTTTAGCCATCAATGATGCATATTGATACATTCTTCGAACCATCAAAAGATATTTTTGTTTTCGTTTTCTTAATTCTGATCATTTTATCTCTATGATATACTTTAGAAGAAAATGTTTTCATGTGTACGAGCTTATTGTTTGGTTTGTGACGGAGGCGGCACATTTTAATAGTTTTGTTTAAAACAATTGCTGAAATAAAACAGCTTGATTGAAATCATCAGTCTTAGAAGATAACAAACGCTATGTTGTTAAAGTAATCAACATTTAAAAACGAGAATGTCCAGAATGTAGTTCATATAATCCTTATTGTATCTAAGATGTTTGTCGGTATAACACACAGTTAAAACCATAATATAACATTGAGATGAATAACTCTATGTGACTAATAATGACAGTGTGGTCTATGTACTTTGATTCAGTAGCATCTAACAGTATATTAATACATAATTATATACACACATTTTAATTAGCTCTAAATGTAAACTTAAATGACACAATTGTTTTACTAAATAATATCAAATGAGCAATTTTATGACAATTAAATGTAATATCACAAATGTAAACCTGCTTTCATTTGAGTTTTGATAAGTTTCATCAATTATATTCATGGTTTAAATCATATTATTGAATAGATCATATATTGTTCGTATATTTTGACTATTTCTATAGTATTATAAGATTCCTTAAAGCACGTAGTTGGGACTTACAATCTGCAGAAAAAATGATGCGTAAAGATATACAATGGCGCCTAGAATTTCGACCAGATCTAACAGACTGTAAAAATTGTCACAATCAACCAGGAACTCATAGTTTAGTAAGTTTCATCGCTTATTTCTTCCTTAGAGTTTATCATGTAAACAAATTCACTTTTTTTTAAAAGTCACTTGTCAGTTTAATATAGTTTACTCATCACGGAGTTACATGGTTTTGTTTGCTTTATTTATTTGAACACATAAACATTTGTACGAGGAGGCACCAAACAGATATGTGCTACATAAATCATTCAATTCGTGTGAGAGCTGGGATACTGTCCGAGGGCGTAAACCGAAGCAAGTGGTTTTCTCAGGGGGCAACACTCGAAACCTTTGACCTAAAAGTCTGATCCACAAGACAGTGGAGCGACGTAGAGGGATGTAGTCACATACTAGTCAATGACCGACAGTTGGTTCATACGTCATTTGTTTCCTCAGGATCCTTGAGCCCATGTACACTATTAGTTTGGAATGAGGGTTTTCCGACTCCCCTAGGTGAACTCACCGTGTCCACTGGCTCGGTTTAAGTGCCGGACATTCGCTTTTCGTCCTCTCAATTTCGAAAACAACAATCATGTCGCGAGAAGCCAGTGAGCAGGACTTGTGTAGCAGTAGTTGTATGGACGTGGCCATGTGAGAGCATTTGGAGAGGAAGTGCTGACTCTCTCCCTGCTCTCGGCCGTACCAGGGCGTTTTGAGACAGTTGTTATGAAATAACTTGAAGTATTTTCTATTATTTGAGAAAATCAATTCGTGGAAATACTGTAGTTTAATTAGTGTGAATGGATTCAACAAATCACTAAGCCGTTCAGCAAACCTGTTAAAAAAAATGTAAATATTGGCGACTCAAGTCAAGAAATTAGTCATTTACTGTAAAATTAAATTAAGAGTTTACAACTTGATAAATGTCGATCGTTGTAAATGAAATAGAGTTTGATCACGGCCTATAAGATAATAATATTATTTAAAAAATGTGAAATTCCCTACTTGTTTAAGTTAAAACCGTTCAAATTTATTGATTTAATGAGAATAAGGTTTAGTATAAATGAAAGTGAATGACAGTGGTGGTGGTTGTTGATTGACTTAACTAATATTTGTTATGTTCTTAGATTATACGATTACTGTGAATACGATTGCTAAAGTTAGATACCTGGCCCTATATGACCAAAATATGATGTATACACCTAAACGAACGGCCTAGAGTCCCAATTGGTCCTTTTCCCTGCCTATAATGTCCGGAACATCGATCGCAGCCTCCGCGATATGAATCAAATATTTCAAACCTACTCGGTTTATTTACGAGCCAAATAGACCACAACACACCGCAAAATAGAAAATGACATTTATACAATATCTAGCTGAAAATTATTGTGGTTGTGGAAAATTGTAATTAATAAACTTGGCATAACTTAATAATGGTAAATCGTATAATAATAGTCTATAGATCAAAATAAAGCTTATAATAAGAGGAATATGAATATATATAGTTTAGTTACACAGTCCATAAATAGATCTCAACAGTTACCATTCATTATTCTCGGTATACAACAATATTAATCCAAAAATACTGTTAATTAATTGTAAATGATTTTATCAATGAGTGAATTTAAACCATCACATTAAATCATGGGCTAAATCAATCAGATTTAGTCAATGTGTAGTTTATTATGGTGAAATATTAATATGATATGCTTTTGTATTTTAATTATACTTTATGATAGTTGAATTTAAAGTTGATGTTGATTATTTTGTCCTGATTAGAGTTCGTAAGCTTATCCAATAATAATCATTGTCATTTCATTTTAAATGTGTGAGGGCTATGATAGTGCCCGGGTGTCCAGACCGAAACAGGTGGTTTTCCAAGAGGGCCACACCCGGAGGCTTTGATTTAAAGGTCTGATCCACAAGGCAGTGGAGCAACGTCAGGAGATGCAGTTTGATGGTAGTCAGTGACCAACAATTGGTTCATACGTCATTTGCTCCCTCAGGATCGTGAAGTCCATGTGCACCATTGGTTTGAAATAAGGGTTTTTCAACTCCTCTAGGTGGATACTTGATATCTTCCAACTCGGTTAAACCGTCGGACATTCGCTTTTTGTCCTTTCAATTTCGTGATCAACTGTAGTAACGTGAGAAGGTAGCGAGTAGGACTTCCTTAGCAGAGCCTGTATACTGGTGGCTGTGGGAGAGCATTTCGAGGGGGAGGGTGGGCCCTCCTGACTTTCGGCCGTACCAGGGCATTTAGGGATACAAAAGCCGGCAACAACTGGTATTTTTAGTCGGCCACCCATGCAAGTACTGACAGGGCTCAACTTTGCTAAACTGCGGTTATCGGACGAGAACCGGTACGCATATATATCTGGTGCCCCCTTGTACCGATATTTATGTGTTCAAGTAAATAAATAAATCGTAAGCTTAATGACCTTGTGCTTTAGTGAAGATGACTTTTAAAAAAGACTCTTACTAAGTATTCATATGTTAAATAATCAAAAACATATATGGCTTATGTTAATATACGCTAATAGTTATAGTCCTGAAAACTTTGATAAACATAGTAATTCCACGTCTTTATATACCATGTTTAAATATATTAATCTATATACATTTATGCTTTTTATAGAGACAGATAGGATTTGATGAAGCTGGGCGTCCAATTATATATGCATCATTTTGCCAAGCTATTTCAAGTAGAAATATGTCAAATGACGCAGTAACTCATTTAATATATACAATTGAAAATGCAATCAAAAGTATGAAGTCTGGTGTTACACAATGGGTTTTTGTAATTGATTGCACTGGTAAGTTGGTGAAAAATTTAACATTTCATGTATGTAATTTTGGATCGGTGAAACATTACTCTATTTAATGTACCCATATTCTGTTGTTACTAGTTACAGTTAAACTCGGACCATAAGTTATAGTCTCAAACACTAACTTAACTATTGACATTATTGCGCTTATTCCCGAGCTTTATTACATTTATACTCTTTCGGTGATTATAGATTCCACCCTTCGTAACTCTTTTCACAGATACAATATTAAGTAATAAATGTCTTAATTTAGTGAATATTTGCTTGCTTCAAACAGTATTTTAACTAACTATTCTCAGACTATTTGTACATTTAAGGTTGACTACGTTTTAGTGAATTATTCCCTAAAAATTAATATGAGTGAGATTTCAGTTTCTAATGTTAATCAGAAGTGCATGATTAGTTGTTTCTCGAACTGTACGTATTGCCTTGATATTGCCTTATGCACATATATCAATAACAGAGACTGATCAATTGCAGTGCTAAACATCAATGGGAAGATTTAAGTAAGCAATACCAAGTGAATTTAAACTTCACCCCATTGCACAAGCAAATGGCTATCAGAACTCAGTAGGTAAGTGGATAATGCAATGGCATTTGAAATGAACGGTAGTGAGTTCGGGTCCCAGAGTTAACACCACCTCTGAGGTGTAGGTACATCCATCTGATGAGTACCAAATAGAACGAAACGCGTATCCTGGACACCACTGCTAGCCACTATCTATCTTTGCTTATGATATTTAACTTATTTTTCGAAATCAAACTTTGATTGAAAGATAATATCTATGTAAATATATTGAAACTATAGAACATTCTGAAATATTCATCGAGGATGTTCTCTGGAGTACATATATTTAAAGAAATTGATTTATTTCACAAACCCTATTCATAAATATTTTCACTCGTTTCTTTATTCTTGAAAAGATAAAAAAAAATTATTAAACACAACGCCAAATTGTCTTTATAATCAAATACTGATTATCTTCATCATTCAAGGTGTTTTTTTCTATTAGTTACTTCAACTTTAAATTCTATATTATCTTCAAAACATTTAACTATCAAGCAATGAATAGTATTCACAACGTCTTTGTTTACTTACGAGAAAAGTTAGATTTTTTCTTAATTATCCAGATCGTTACTAAAAATTACCGAATTTCCACTCACCCCACCCCATTCCATTTGTTAGTAATAATTGTGATTAATTTTCAATCACTGAAATACACTTGACTTCACTAGTAATCTTAAACAGTGAAATAATATTTAGTCTCATATTAGATATTCATCATGTTCAATGATTATTCATGAAGGGGGTCTAACTGACTCGACTATTCAAATTCGTAACAGATCTTTAATGTTATGACTGTTTATATTGAATTCATATTGTATTGTGGAGATAAAAATTAAGAGTCATTAAATGTTTGACATCATATTGATGTAAATTCTCAGTTATAGACTATTTGTAAATAGGGGAATCTCACAAAAATACTATAAAAGGATATTAATTTATTTATTAAAAATGGCTACATATATGAAGTGTAAATAAAGAAATTGAATTGAATGAAAATAAGTATTGTTTGTTTATATATGAGCTTGAGTGCTCAAACAAATACCTTGAAGAGAGTATTACTAATCATTTACTGATTTTTGAGTATTTAAAAAGATTTTTGTTGTTGTCATATGATGATAGAATAAAGCATTCAATGTTTAGAGAAGTACGTAAATTGTTGAATTTACAATAAGAATGAATTTTCTTTGTATATTCTTGATTATTAACATGAGATTCCATGACATTCACGTTTTTCAAAAAGTGTACCACATGAATTCCCACCATGCATTGAAGGTTTTTCAATATATCTCCAACGCATTTGCGTACCTTTTTGATGAGAACATGATACTGAGCATGGACTCCAACCACTCCATGTAGTCATTATGCAATCTTGTTTATGACCCGATATATCATCTAATTTTTGATGTTCTATTTCATTTAATGAATCGACATCATTTTTATCATCCACTGATTTTGGTATAGAGATAGCGGTATGATTATTTATTGCATTATTTTTTATCATAGAAGTGTCATTTGTGTATGTACGCATGCTAGCCATACGTGCCTTATTGATTTGTCGTAGCTTCTCCATTTCTAAGGGGAGACAATCAGATAAGCAACTATGATATGTTTCAAAATTGTTTTCATTACCACCACAACCACGGTATTCAAAATCACGACATCTCCGTAGGCGGGAACAAAAATACCTAGGAAGAAATAGGTAAATAATCGTCATTACCGTGATTAAGAATTATTCTACAGGTGTTGATCAAAGTTTTTGATTTATTTCAAAGTACCACTAATTCATAAACCTACATTACTATAGTAATAAAACTGGTCAGAAACTGATGCAGCTGTTTGTCATGCAATGAAATGTATTCACCATAGTAGTAAAATAAAGAGTACAGAATCTTGATCCAATAACTTATTGGTAATATTTGCACTGGAATACCAGAATTGACAAACTTTAAGCTTATTTGTATTTGAGAGTAGACCCTAAACCATAACAAAAACGATATTGAGTGCATCAAGTCACAAAATGACTCTTAATGTACTTTAATTTTTCATGAAATTACCTCACATATATATGTTAGTTCTAAGAAATATTTGTCGTTTCATTCTTCGACATCTCCACATTTTTCTGTGTAATCATATCATTTGAGCAGCTAAGAGAAACTTCAGGAGGTGATGTCTGGTTAACAGTGTGATGAAGTGTACTGGACAATTACCCTAAGGTTTTTAAATTAACGCATCCAGGACTACTGATTTGTTATCTGTTAGGAGTTAGGTTGTGATAACTTTCACTGATTAGTAGAGGCATTAAAACAGTCGATCAATATCAGACTGACTCAACGCACAATACAACCGATCATTGGTTTAACTTAACATGATACTATTCATCCAGTTGTGATAACAGGGATCTCATTTAAAATTTCATATAACTGATAAAAGGTATAAAAATAACAAACTTGATCTTTATATGAATAACTTCTTGAAATCCTTTCTAGTTCAATTAAAACAAACTAAACTTAAATAATTTTGACTCTTACCTTAAGTTTGATTTAAAAAGACTTTCTGAAGGCAGGTGTACGCTCTGTGTCTTTTAGATATATTCCCATCATCTTAGTCTTTTAATTGACTGTATTCAACAAGGGACTAGTGAATACATACTACATAAATCAGGTTTACTTTTATTACTTTTGATTATGAAGCCTTAATCTTAGTCATAATATAAGTTGTGTAGTAAAAATTATTATACTTTATCAGAAACATTGAATGTGATGTGTGTCCTAATCTTCCACTATGAAGCTTGATGTTATTGATGGATGTTTTAGTGTTTTATAGCTTTACGAAATAAACCAGTTTCCCAGTTACATCACTGAGATTTCCCAGGCAACAGGGAAAAGTAGACTTTGGCCAAAAATATTGTTATCTAATAAGCCTGATTTTTACTGAATTCAATGTTTTTTAGTTATTTAACCTCGTTAGTGTATTATTACGTGTTAACATCAGTTGAAAAAGCATCGAAAACTTTAATACAATAAAGACCCTCTTAATCTACTCTTTTCATATATCAGTCTGAACGACAATAAACCACTTAGTAATAACTTATCCTGAAGATGTTTTAAAGTCCTATTAAAACATCGTTTTTTTAAACTCAAATAGGTTAAGCTGGATAAATGAAAGTTCACGAAAATGTAAACATTCGTGGATTATTTACATGAATTAAGAAAATCTAGATTAAAACAAAACAACTATTACTGCTTAATTTTAAAGCCAAAACCTCGACTAAATAATAAATAAAGTTATAACTTACCATCTATTCTGTGGTGGCTTATCATCCATGCAAGTATAACCAGGGTCCATTACCTGAGAACAGTGTTTAGCTGGGGAAATCGATTGATTTTTAAAATCATTACTGTCTGTAGCTAATTGAGCTGTTTGATATTGTAATAAAGCTATCCGTTCTCTTCGCCAATTAGGTAATGCTTCAACAGCTGGAATGCATAGATCTTCGCAATCGTGTTTTGTAGGAAAACGATTACGTCCACCTTTACATCCTAAATATTTGAATGGTAAACATGCATGTTCAATAGCGCTATAGTAGTATGCTAAGACTTTTTCACCACATTCTATACCATCTTTTCTACCCTCTGAACATATTGTAGCCGGATCACAATCTGTATCTTTTGGCTGACATTCCCTCAATTCTCGTAAAGTACCATTGTTTGACTCGGTTTCACTTTGAAATATATGTTCACAATAATTCTTTTCTGATGAGCGGGCTAAATAACGTGTACGTGTTTGCCATCCATGCGGTTTATCACAAGTAGCATTACATGGGGTCCAAGCAGTCCATGGTAATAAGCTGCACATAGCACTGAAATCACATGTACGTTTTATACCATCACATGACTATATAGTTTAGGAGAAAAGAAGTCAATAAAGATTTGTAGTGTTCATAGATTTCTACTAGAATTGCTTTCACGCTGATAATTTTAAGTAATGCAATCAACAAATACATTAGAAGTTGAAGTTTAGTGATTTAACACTATGTGATATTTTTTAATTGATTGCTTACTAACCTACTTCATTGCTTACAAAAATAATTCCTCTATAGTCAAGTCAACTGTCGAGCACTTCTTTAATTTCCGTAATTATTCGAATAATATTCACCTAAGATAAACAAACAATCCTTATTTTGATTTACGTATAAAGTATGGTTTCAACTGTTTTAATCTTTGGGAACCTATAAAAATGACCTTTTTGAAGTTAGTAAAATTTTGTTCTCTAAGCTGGATGGTTTGGTCCTGAAGCTTTCATCGTTCTTCTGAACGACATCCTCAACACAAACTTCAAGTATCGATCCATTTTGAAGGTCTGCAGACGAATATACGTGAATTTAATCCATGATAAAAACAGTTCATACCGATTCATTAGA